AGCCCGCGAGCGCCTGCTTTGTAGGCTAGCAAACAATTTGTGCTAGTCCTCTTGCGCGCGTTTCGCCCGGTGACGTCACGGAAATCAAAATCGTGCACAGAAGACTTGGGACTAGTCTGACGAGGGGAGAGACGAGAAAGCGCTGGTCTGCGCCGGTCACGTGATATGGGTATACTTGACAGCTACTCGTCAAGGAGTCGCGAAATATTCTTAACTAAAATATACAAGTCTTCGAAACAAATAAACAGCCAAAACACTTCTCAGTCGATATTATTTATGTGTGGCGAAGTTTTGCACGAATCAGCTGAGATCTCTGAAGACACCGTCATTATTTTGTAAGATGTACCGATATTTCTGGAGATTTTCAAGCAGAGTGACAGGCAAAGCCAAAGGCTCAATTGTATTCAATTTCAAGCTGCTCTAGGCGTCTCCAAGTGGTGATTCACACGAAATTTGCTTTCTTAAACAATATGGCTATTGCCTTTAATATTTAGTTCTAATATGCTCGTAGACTTAGTTCGATATAAATAAACAACAAATATAAGACCTCGCATAACCTGTTTACGCTGTACAGGAAATATACGGATTCGCTTGTTTCGACACCAACACTTGCTGTTCAGGAGCAATTCTTGCCTACAAATTTTATCCTCTTCACAATCTTTGTTTTATTCTATCGTATAATCGCAATTTTCAAGTATTCGGAATATTCTGAAACTGTAAAACTACAGTTTTATAATAGTAGACGTTTCTTGTCTTGTCAGGACATATCACTGCTCACGTCGAGACGCCTTTTGAGTTTAGTAACCGGCCGAGGCGAGAGTAAATCATGCAGTCATGAAAACTGAAAACGGTCATTGCTCACGTACAATTCACCTTCTTACTTTGAAAGATCATTTTGCAAAATATACTCGTACACAACAATCATGTTGAATTGTTATTGTGAAGTTCTGCTATTTTTCGACATTATGGTGTTAGCCAATCAGAATGCAAAATTGACCGGCTCAGACCAGGGCTTTCTCGTCTCTCCTTTCGTCCTCACACGAAAGCCGTGGGAACGAGGTTGCCTTGCACTTTTCACATCCGAACAAAAACAAAATAGCTTCCCGTATCGTTCCGGTTACAAACGAGCAAATTTTTGTACTAAACGAACCTGCCGATTCGCCAAACAGAAAAATACCACAAAATTTAATTTTTTTAAAAGTGTGTAGAGGTATTCTATAATGCTATTTCTAAAGAATAAAATTACCAAAACCTTGTAAATGCTGTTTAATTTGTTTACAACTATAATACGAACCTGTTTAAAAAATATTTTCGTTGTTTTTTAGTCATTTTTGTTTTGTTGTGGTATATGTTAACACAATTATTCGCCTCAGCGCTTCGTACTTATGTGAATATCCTTGTACTATTCACAACGATATCAGTGAATAATTGCTACATATGTTTCCTTTTCGTAGGTCTCACGGTATGGGTTGATATCCAAGTTTCGTCATTACCAAATATTGTAAACGAAGAACAAAAGTTTCACCACGCGTTAATTATCTATCCAGTATCTTTGGTGGTCACAATATTGATAGTGATTCTGTCAAGGTTATGCATATTTCTTCTACCGATTCGAGCTAACTACAGAGTCCACAATGCGATGGTTGCTTGTTTACTTCAAGCCCCTAGTCATTTCTATGCTGTGAATTCTGCAGGTCGAATACTGAACAGGTTTTCACAAGACATCAATAACTTGGACGATCTTCTGCCATTTAACTTCCTCAACAGCAGGTATGAAATGCATATCAGTCTTCATCTTCATCAACGCAAATTTAGTATTCCTTAAACTTGACGATATAGTTAAGTAAGTAAGTGGGGTGTGCTAATCATCCTTACTTGCGGATTAGAGCTAAGCTAAATTACGAAGGACGCAGCTCAACCTGATCGAATCGAAGGATTTCTAAGGGCGCCTATGGTAGCCACATTATTATTCATCTTTGATCACGGAGCACAGCTACGGTGGAAGGGTCAGTTTGGGGGATAGTCCCAACCCACCCTGTCGACATTCCCTGTGGGAGGAAACCGGAATACCCGGAGAAAACCCACGACTTTCAGTAGAGCGTTGACTGACTCTTTTTGCATAAGTGTCATGCGTGAGTTCGTAGTGAAAATCGAACCCACGATTTCAGAGGTGAAAGGCGTTGCTCTGACTGTTGCGGCCAAAGCCCCTAATTAATTGAAAAGTTTATGTGTTGGCACAACTAACATTATCCTTTGACATTTTAAAGTTTGGATACTATTACCTATAATAATAATAATAATAATTTATTAATTTATACCGCGCTAAAACTATACAATATTCTAAAGCGCTTAGTTACATAAAATAGGAAGCTAATTTTAAAATTTCCCTACGTTATTACTCAACATTTAAGTACAATAAGCATCTATTTAAAAATATTTAAAAACAAGAAGTATTATTAATGTACGCATCTCTATACAGAAATGTCTTAAGATTTGTCTTAAAAGAATCCAACGAAGGTGAAAGCCGAATATCACACGGTACTAAGTTCCACAATATTCTAAAGCGCTTAATTACATAAAATAGGAAGCTAATTTTAAAATTTCCCTACGTTATTACTCAACATTTAAGTACTATAAGCATCTATTTAAAAATATTTAAAAAGAAGAAGTATTATTAATGTACGCATCTCTATACAGAAATGTCTTAAGATTTGTCTTAAAAGAATCCAACGAAGGTGAAAGCCGAATCTCACACGGTACTAAGTTCCATAGAGTAGGTCCTGCTTTCAAAAAGGCACGATCACCAAAAGACTTTCTACGTGTGTTTGGAACATGAAGAAGCCCTAGTTCGTCCGATCTCAACGAGTAGTTATTACTTTGTTTATAAGTCAACATGTCACGAATATATTTAATTATATCTATTATATTCAATTATATCTAATATATTCAATTATATCAACACATCAATATAACATGTTAAATTATCAGCATACGCTCTCCTTAAGTATGGAATGCTGTGCTTAAATTTTTGTGATGTCTGAAGAAGGTGTTTGGATTATCCGATGTTGAAAATTATTTCTTTTCTTTTGAGAAAATGATGGCAAAAATGTTTTGAGTATGTATTAGAAGGTCTTACAATCCCATGCCAGATTCATGCCCTACTTTCTCCAAAAGATGACCACAGGTTAATTTGGAACCGCTCTGTTAAAGCCAAATATGGCCGATACGGGGTAACATTCCCCTTCATCGATAATCCTGGACAAAACATCTGCGACACTTCCAACTATTTGACGAAATTTTGCAAAATTATTGCAAATTTATAAAAACCTCCCCCATTTGATGTCCATTGCATTCCTAGAATACGGCTAAAACGTCTAACATTGTTTTTGTGGGGGGAGGGGCCAACAAGTAAATTATTCCAGTCAAATAGTAAAAAAAAACACGGAGCGATATTGTAATAGAGCGTCACAGATGGTTTTGACCGTGATTGTCTATATCTTTCAAATTGAATAACGAAGATATAGCGCATTAAAATTTGATTTTTATGCTTGACTTTCTTCTTTCCATAGTAAATATGGCTTACGGGAATGTATTAGTCTTCAAGAAACAATCACCGCAGGGTCGACAAGGAAATATAACAGCCTCACGCAACGCTATGCTTCGATGTTTAGACAGAATGCAATTGAGAAATTTCATGCATTTAAGATACTTCTCACATATCATTAGATATCCATAGCATTTCTGCCAATGACATGGTGTAATTTACATCACGTGTATCTATCTGGATACCCCGTCTAGACCTGGACTTTAGTTACTTCAAGTGGGAAGGGCTTTGAACAATAGGGAAATTGAGGGGTAAACAAAAGATTATGCAAATATATTTAATTGCTGTGTTTAGAATTATTTCTAAATACAGTAAGCTGGGTTTTTTTCTAACTACACTTTACATTTAACACTTTTTCTGAACGTTTGAAAACTACATAAATATAGGAAAACTAACTTTTTCCTCACTATCATAATAATTAACAGCGCTTTAAACACTACAGCAATAATACAGCAACTTACCAGTGTTGTTTACCGTCTAATATATATTCACTTTGGCTCTTCCATTTTCCACCAGATGGCGCCTTATCGCACACACAATCTGATATATCGTTTTTCGGATCTCCAATCTTGTCAGCGAGTGGCTTTCCTTACATTTTCAATACTGTGCTCAACACTTTCTTGTTCTCGAAACCGCTTTTTCTTATATTATAAGAAGATGCCATGCTCTTTTGCCAACAAAATTCATCTATTCATGACGAAAGCGAACTGAATGCTTCGTTACACTTCATGCAAACTTTCAAGCGAATGTCCACGCTCACTTTTTTGAATATCTAATAATTTCATGGCTCATTGCTATGAAAGTCTAATGATGTGTGAGAAGCAATTTCAAATCCTCGTTAGTGTTTTAAACTTGGCTTCCAAATCCCCAGTGCATGGCACTTGTATTGAGAACCACGTCTAAAACACTAACTCGGATTTGAAGTATTACTTCTGAGTCAACATACTTAATAGTGTATATACCAACTATTTTTTACTAAAAATATTATTAAGATATTTTTCATGTATTTAAATTAATATACTTCTGAGTCAACATACTTCATAGCTACCAACTATTTTCTACTAAAAATATTGTTCAGATACCTTAATCCACATTTATGGTTTAGACTGCCCATGAAAACTATAGTCAATATAAGTTCTTTGTAGGTTTGCATGGCGATAAAAGATATAATATTTTGTTTCTGGAAACACCACGTGAATTTATTACTGCAATAATTATGCAGTAATAATTTACGTGGTGTTTCCACAAACAAAATATTATATAGTCAATATACTGAGTTACATTGTCAGTTTCACAAGATCAAGCTGTAATTATTTCCTGTGGTCTGGAGCAAATTCGAAATGTGTCTGTCACAGTAATCGTCTTGTGAATTTAATAACCTTGTGTTTTCCAACAGTGTGAAAGATGAACGTGGCAACTTTAAAATTCCTTCAATCAGGGAAGACGGTCGCGAAAAGTCAAAAAGTGGAACTGTAAAAGCAAATGAGAGAGAATGCGATGGTGCTATTAAACGAAAGACTGTAGCCTCAGATGAACGAACGAATGATTTGAAAGAACTTCATCAAGAAAGAAGAGTAAGGAAAAATATTTGTTATTCCGGTTTTTTACAACGTTGCTTTCTGCAAGTTTAGTTTAATTTAGTTGAATGTGTTTACCTACTGTACGGTGGGTAAGAAGGGGCATTGCTATCTATCCTCTTTTCCGTTTGTGCTCTGGTTTATCATGGGACTAATCAGCCGTACCTCCAGTTTTGAACCGCACATTTTCTCGTACTGTGTGCTATTGCATAACTATACATTATAAACTAATGTAAAAGATCATTTCTGTGGCAGTGTGATTATTATCACATTATGGTTTAACAAGTCCCGACATCGCTCCCTTTCTCCACTCTACTCCACCTGACTAAATACCTTAGCGGTATAATAGATATAGAATGCGTACTTGCGTGGTTACGAATCATGTCTTTACTTTTTCTCATATAAATTGTCTTCGACGAAATGAAAACTCTTAAATTTCAACACTTTATTACACTATTAAAGAATTAAACCTACATTAACTCGCCGTATTTTGCGTATATTTCTCGGCCAAGACAACTTGTTTACGACTTAATAAATCTAAAATCCATGTGTTCGTATCACGAGATGACCATATATGGCATGCAGTCAGAGAAGTATGTAGTAATTATTAAATATATTCTTAGGACTGTTAGAGGTTCAATAACATCCCCCTTCCGAATATAAAATATTCGTCAATTTAACTTGAAACAAATATCAAAAGTTTCTTTTGTTCTGTTCGTTTTATTCTAAGGTCTTTCGTTTTATTCTGCTTCACCAGCAAACTCTAGTGGACATAAACGGTGAATTGGTCGTTTGTAAATTGACTTTCCAACTTTAACTTCAACGACACGTACTAGTCCGTCTTTCGTTGGATATACTTGCGTGACTCGTCCCAGAGGCCAATCTCCGCGCTTCGCATTTGGATCAACTACTAATACCACGTCTCCAATTTTCAAGTTTCTCTGCAGATGGAACCATTTACTACGCACGTTCAGACTTGGAAGAAATTCTTTTCTCCACCTTTTCCAAAACTGGCTAATCAATTGCTGCACACAGCGCCATCGTTTTACTGGTTTTACTTGCTCCTCGGTGTCAAAAAACTTCCGCCGCAAACTGTCCACCAAGCTGACCAATGATGAAGTCATTCGGTGTCAACGGTGTCATATCATGTGGATCAGAGCTCACATACGTGATAGGTCGAGAGTTAAGAAGTCTCTCAGCTGTACACATCGCGGTATGCAACTCTTCATCGTTTATATCAGCTTCACCAAGAATTGCTCTTAACGCTTTCATCGATTCAAATACACCGCCAAAATGGGGCGCTGATGGCGGATTAAAATCCCATTGAATGGCTTGATTAGTTGAAGTTGCATTGATAATTCTCTCTTTGTCTAACTGTTTTACTAGCTGTCGTAACTCCTTTTCCGCGGCTACGAAATTTGTTCCATTGTCAGATATCACATAGCTCGGGGTCCCCCTCCTTGATATCATCCGGGTAAATGCATTAAGGAATGCTTCAGTATCTAAAGAGTACGTCATTTCAAGATGCACCGCCTGAGTGGCTAAGCAGGTAAAAAGACACATATACCTCTTAGCTTTTGACTTACGCCGTCCTTGTTTCGTATAAAATCGCCCACAATAGTCAGTTCCAATACGATCAAACGCTCGCAGGGGTAACTGCAGTCTTGATTTAGGAAGTGGAGCTATTACTTGTCCCGTTGGCTTTGCTTTTGATCTCCGACATTTAAGACAGTTCTCAACAACAGTTCGTACTGCTCGTCTGCCTTTTATGATCCAAAAACGCGAACGGGTCTCGGTTAGAAGATGTTCCACACCTGAGTTATGACCAATTTTTTCGTGTCGATTTTCGATGATAAGCCGCGTCACTGGATGGTCTTTAGTAAGATTATAGGATGTTTGACGTCATGTGGAAGGTCATCGGCAAAACGAAGACGTTCACTGATTCGCAATAAACCGTCCTCGTCTCGTTGAGGGCAAAATCTGATCAAACAATTCTCCTTCTCATCGTTTGGAAACTCTTCGGCTTGCGTCCTTCGTATCCACAATGTTTCTGCGTCAGAAATCTCCGGTCGCTGAAGTACGTTGTTCTTTTTACGCTGTTCATTGGGTAACTGACAGTTTTTTAGAAAACGCTTTACCCAAGCTGTAATACGCAGTAGTCGGGAAAAGCTGGAAAACTTTTCTGGCCGTAGACGATCATTGACGTTGGTGCTAGATTTGGTTTCTTCTGTTGCAAACGTGAACTTACTTTTCCTGTGTTCGCGTTCTTCATCTCCGATTGTGGGATTCTTAGGTAACTTCTCGGGCCACGTATATTCCTCTTTCTTTAAAATCTCTGGTCCTTCCATCCACATCTTGCTTTGGGACAATTGTGTTGCGGATAAACCTCTTGTCGGTAAGTCGGCAGGGTTGATCCCCCCGGTATGTGGCGCCACTGGTCTGGATTTGTGCTTCGTTGAATCTCCCCAATCCGGTTGGCAACGAATGGTTTAAAGTTCCTACTTTGGTTTCTAACCCAATAAAGCACATTGGTGGAATCTACCCAGAAGGTAACGCTTTCGACTGTTAAAACTTTTACCAGATTTTTTGCCAAGCGAGTCGCAAGCACTGCTCCCATTAGTTCGAGTCTTTCGCCGGTGCAACGCAACATTTAGAAGCGATGAGACATGAGGTCGGTGGATGGTTAACATATTTGCACACTAAGTAAGCAACGGCAGCGTACGCAGCTTTGGACGCATCTGAAAACATATGTAGTTGAATGCTTGTTGGAAGGGCGTTACGTAGACAGCGTGGAATTGTGACGTTGGGCAATTCCTGGAACTCGGAAATCCACGTTTTTCATTTCGAATCCAATTCTGCTGGCAGAACATCGTCCCAGTCCAGACCTGCTGCCCAAATTTCTTGCATTAATAATTTCGCACGTATAGTAAATGGAGATAAGAATTGGAGTGGGTCAAAAAGGGATGCAATGCAACTTAAAACGCTTCTCTTTGTAGACATAGAATTGGCGGGTGGCTGAACTTGAAAGGTAAACGTGTCCGTTTCCGCATTCCATGTTACTCCTAAGGTTTTCTTCGTCGGTAAATCTTTTCCTTCAGCAATCTCCACACCTTACACACGATCTTCAATTGGAACGTCCGCGATGACCGACGATTCGTTTGAAAGCCACTTTCGTAATTTGAAACCCGAGTCCGATAAGACTTCCAAAAGATCACGTCGTAATGAACAAGCTTCCTCGATTGTCTCGAACGAGTCGAGGACATCATCAACATACATCGAATTGTCTATAGTCTCTGCGACCTTTGATTTCTCTTCACTAAGAGTCTGTCCATGCGACTGTAAAACATACTGAGCACAGAATGGCGATGCCGCGTTTCCAAATGGAAGACGTTGGAATTCGTAAATCTCAGGCTGACGCTGTTGGTCAAAATTCCTCCAAAGGAATCTGTGGTATGGAGGTCCTCACTTCGAAGACCGACTTGAAGAAACATCTGGGAAATGTCTGCAGATAGTGCTCAGGGGCACGTCGGAAACGGCAGAGTACATCAACTAGTTCTCGTTGCAGCTTAGGCCCGGGAAGGACTGCATCATTTAAGCATTTCTCGTCGTGTTTTGCCGCAGCGTCAAACACTATCCGAACTTTCGAGGTAGTCTTGTCGTTGCGAATGACAGGGAAGTGTGGCAGGTACCATTGATCTTTTTCTGCTGTACGGGGTACCTTTTTCACGTAACCCTTTTCAACGTATTCTTCTATGATACTGTTGTAAGATGAGCCAATGTCTGATCCTTTTTTGAGTAATGATCTTTCCAAACTCTGCAATCGTGAAAGTGCCTGGTCGTAATTGCTTTTGAACATGGGTTCGTTTACTTTCCAAGGTATTCCAGTTTCGTACCGGTTGTCTTGCTTATGCAGTGTCTCTTCTGCAAACTTGGTCGTTCTCGCTTCGTCTGGCGTTAATACTGGAGTGTCCTCTTGTTTAATTCCCATTGACTCCAGCTCCCAAAATCGTCGCAAAATATTGTTCGTTGATTCTTCGTGATTTGTTCCAGCCAAGCTGGATCGATAAGTGCGTGTGACATGTATACACGAGTTATTGTGGATTCCAGTTGTCGATGTCGGTCCAAAACAAACCCATCCGAGATTTGTACGCCGAGCAATTGGGTCGTTGGCTTGTGGTTCATGTATCTCTTGAAGAACATGGTGGAACAAAGGATGATCACTGCCAACACTGCCAATTAAGGGGTCAATCTGGCGTCGATTTGCCACTCGTTCAAACGGAACTTTCTGAAGGTGTGGCCAATTTTCTTTAAGGTCGGACCACTCTATTGCTGGGGTAGTTCCAGTGATATCATCCAAGACGTTAGCTTCGACCGTCGCTGAGAAATTTCCTTTGACATTAGATTCATTTAAATTGACCCTACGAGACATCTTTTGCACTTCGGTGCCTCCCGTTCCAGTTACAATTAGATGTTGTGTTCGTCCTTGCAGCTTTAGTTCTTCCGCTGCATGTTCTGATATATAACAGCCAGTTGAGCAAGGATCAAGCATAATGTTCACATTTACTTTCTTCTTTTGGTTGGAATTAGAAATGAAACCAGGTACCACCATCAAGGACATTTTATCGATTTGATTGGTTGTAAAGGTAGAACTAGTAGCGTTCTCGTTTTCGTTTGGTTGTTGAGCTCCATTCGGGGGACCACTGTTATTACTTCCGTTATCCGTAGGATTTCTGTTAGACTGGTGTAAATACCTACTATGAGTGACACTCTTGCAACCATCAACACCGCAGGACACAGTTCTAGAACATCTTCTACTGTCATGACCTGACGCCAGACAACGAAAACAACGTCCGCTTTTCGCTATCAATTCTTTCCGTTTAGTCACTGGTAACCTTTTAAATGCTTCGCAAACCCACGGTGGATGATCCTTCCGGCAGTTGTCCACAACACATCCTCACGCTCTCTTACCCGTATTGAACCCACGGTTGTTTCTCCTG